GGGGGGGGGGGGGGGGGGGTACGTGTAGCAAATCTCTAATTATAAATCCAAATGAAATTGCTTCGACTTGCTCTTCAACTTATAAGGGTGTTTGGTGGGGATTAAAATTTGATTTTTAATAGATTGTGATAGAAGTTTTTGAAATGTGTGGTTGAAAAGTTGTGAAATTTATGAAAGACGTGGTTAATATTGATTATTTGACTTTAATTTGAATTAAAATCAGATTTTAATCTGAACCAAACAAAGGCTATGTGAGAATAACCGATGAAGAAGAGAGACAATATCGGTGAAAAATGAGAAATACAGAAGTAAGGATTTAAAAAGTCATTAGAAAAGACCTTACACTTTTTTTTTATGTAATTTATATATGTAGTTGATTTTTGTCCACGTGCCATGTCATTTTTAGAGCCTTAAGAAACCCGCACTATCATTTCAATTTTCGAGTACCTGTGGCTTAGGTGCATAATCGTCACTCAACTATTATGGAAATGTTCTCCTTCCCACGGTGGGCAAAATAAGACTCCCCACCTGCTAATGTGGCAAGAAAACCTAATGTTGTGTTCTCTCCAAATGTGATAACCCAATGTTGGGTTTTTTCTGAGTGGGTATTATAAGACTTTCCATCGTGGGTAGGAGAACAGCTCTCCGAACTATTAATAATCGCGCATATTCATCATGGTCGATCGGCCAACCTTTCCCAATAGTGATTAGTCGATTGCTGTTATTTAGCAAATTGTTAATTGATCAACTTTCTTTATTTAGTTGAATATTGTTAATTTATCGATAGTCATTATGTGGTAACCTTTGGTTGGTTCTTTTGTAATTATCCGGACCTCGTGATAAGGTCGTTATACCATACGTAATGTTCGTTTTGAAGAGTCTAAAATAATCTTACCTCTCACGGTTTACTGCCGCATCCTCCGTAATTCGAATTCATGACGTATGCATTACGCGATAATTAAGTTGAATCTCGATATTAATTTATATCATAAATATTGTCCGTTTTGGGAGAGTTTAAATATATCTTACCTCTCATAATTTTCAACCGCGTCTCCTAGAGTTTGAATATAAGACATCTACCTTATAGAGATTTAAATTGGATCATAGTAAGATTGAACTTAGATTCTCTCAAAATCAACAATACCTATTATACAATGATTTAGACACAATATTCGAGTAGTCACATCTTTCAAGTTTGAGCTCCAATCATTTCCTATGTAATATAATTTTATTATAATTTGAACTTAGCCATAATTTTCTGTTCATTTTTTATTATGTCCTTATTTGAACCCTATTTTTTAAAAAAATATTTTTTCTCAAATTCATTTTTTTAAAAAAAATCTAATTTTTAATCACGCATTCTTAAAATAATCAATATCACTAATTTTTAACCACACATTCTCAAACACACCCTAAGTCCCAAATTTGTTAGGGTTTGACTCCCTTTAAAACAAAATAATTTATGTCTTATACTAATTTTCATTCACACACTCACACCATAAAATATTTTGCACGTAAACCTATTTTTTTCACTTTTTAACCACGCATTCTCTAAAAAACCACAATTCAAAACATTATTTTTACACTACACAGCCATCATATTGGGACAGTTTCATAGTTAAAAAAATTGTATTAGTTGATGTTTTGTGTCCAAAACAAACTTATTCAGATCGTGTCGATAATCACATCATTTTTTGTTTAGGAAACTTGTCGAGAATGACGTTCACAACAAAAAGACTAGATGATATCTTAACACCGAACTAACCTTAAAACCCATTCTCTAGTTGCATCGTGTTTTGGAATATGTCTGCACACAATAATCACAATCCGTGAATTAGTATATGATGACATTCCTTCACGGACACTAACGATTAAAATTTGAATTGTAAATCATATAACTTCTTTGGAATTAAAATATAAATGAGGGGACAAACTTATAACAAAATAAAGTTTAATAATTCCTTAATTAGGAAGTAGACAATGGGATCGCTTTTATATGCAAATTAATAGGAGCTAAAGTCACTTTTGAAATGTTGAGCAAATTTATTGAATAAATCCCAAAATTAATTAGAAAATCTTTATTCTGTAAATATGAGGCCAGCTTTTGGGACCTTGACTGATTTTCTCTTTTTGATCAAAAGAAAATATTATCTGTCATAATACTTTATTTCTTATTTTCATACAAATTGACACCCATATCACAGCCAATTAGGCCCCACCATTATAATCATTAATCCACATTTACTTTATTTTCCCTCCAAAACAAATTATATGCACAAAATCATTATTCCCCTTGAATTGCTTTCCCACGTTGTACTTCACAATTTGAAGCTTGTACACCCCACTCCTATATTTTGCCATGTATCAAAAATTAATTTTAATCACTAATGAAAATTTGATTTTAATTCCCAACGAACAAAAACTATACATGAAAATTTGCAATTGAATCCACATTCTCACTTTCAGTCGCGATCATCTGCAAATTTACTTATGAATTTACATGAATCTTTAATGGACGTATACATTTCGCCATCAAATGTCCACTCGTTGCACACCGTCTGTCCATCTAACGTGAAGTACATTTCTATTTATTTTTTATGGATTTTTCCTCATAAAATTGTCTTATAAAAATAGTTCACTCACGGAGAAGATAGATATGGCATAAGAGACAGTAATGACATTCGTCAATCGGGATTTTACGAAGTATGTGAGGCTGATAATCGAGAAAATAAGAATGGGAGCCAAGTGCTCTTATTGTGAATGTTTGGGGACCTCGAGTAAAAATTTCACTATATATTTTCTCTTTGCATAAAAGCTCCTTCAAGCAACGTGGAAAGAGAGACTGAGAGAGAGAGAGAGAGAGCGCGCGCCACCCCCAAAACATTATTACTCACATATCAAAAACCCTAGTAACTCGCCAGCGCCGACTCAGATGGACGCCGAGTCAACTCAGCTCCAGCAAGCGCAGCTTGCGGCGATTCTGGGTCCGGATTCGGCGCCCTTCGAAACACTAATCTCCCATTTAATGTCCTCCTCCAATGAGCAGAGGTCCCAGGCCGAATCAATCTTCAACTTGCTTAAGCAGAACGATCCGAACTCGCTCGCTCTCAAACTCCTCCACCTCCTTTCCACCTCCCCGCACCATGAAGCCCGTGCTATGTCTACAATCCTCTTGAGAAAACAGTTGACTCAGGATGATTCGTTCATCTGGCCCCAACTCACCGAGTCAACTCGCTCCGCCGTGAAGAACATCCTCTTGTCCTCTGTCCAGCGTGAGGAATCCAAATCCATCGTCAAGAAGCTATGCGATACGGTCTCAGAACTCGCCTCTTCTTTACTACCTGAAAATCAATGGCCAGAACTCCTGCCCTTCATGTTCCAATGCGTAACATCGAATTCCCCAAAATTACAAGAATCCGCCTTCTTGATTTTATCTCAATTGTCCCAGTTCATCGGCGAAACGTTGATTCCATACACAACGGATTTGCACAGCGTGTTTTTAAATGTGCTGAATAATTCCCCCAACTCCGATGTGAAAATTGCGGCTCTAAGCGCGGTTATTAATTTCATTCAGTGCTTGTCAAGTTCAAATGATCGTGATAGGTTTCAGGATTTGCTGCCCTCAATGATGACAACATTGACTGAGGCCTTGAACCGCGGGCAGGAAGCAACAGCACAGGAGGCGTTGGAGTTGTTTATAGAGTTGGCTGGGACAGAGCCGAGGTTTTTGCGGAGGCAGATTGCTGATGTAGTGGGGTCCATGTTGCAGATAGCTGAGGCCGAGAACTTGGAGGAAGGCACTCGACATCTGGCCATTGAGTTTGTGATTACTTTAGCTGAGGCACGGGACAGGGCTCCCGGGATGATGCGCAAGTTGCCACAGTTCATTAGTAGGCTTTTTGCAATTTTGATGAAGATGCTTTTGGATGTGGAGGACGATCCCATGTGGCACAGTGCGGAGGCTGAGAACGAGGATGCAGGGGAGACCAGTAACTATAGCATTGGGCAGGAGTGTTTGGATAGGCTGGCGATTGCACTTGGTGGGAATACAGTTGTCCCCGTGGCATCTGAGCAGTTGGTGGCTTATTTGGCGGCTCCCGAGTGGCAGAAACATCATGCCGCTCTAATTGTACTGGCACAAATTGCAGAGGGTTGCTCGAAGGTATAAAATATTACTTATGTACTGATTAGATTAGATTGTATTTTTTATGACGATGATTAACCATTAAGTGAGTTTTTTGTGATCAAGTAAATGTTTGTTAGAAATGTATTCTTTTTATGCATATTATACTTGTCTAACTTATATAAAATATTTTTCATTCTGATGAGGAGTATAATTCAAACTTGAATGATCATCTGCAACGTTTCAACTCAACCTGTATTTTGAGATAAACATAATTTTATTAACTCTGATAAAAGTTAATCTGTAAATGCTCTCTAATGGATGTACACACGATGCAATACTATCATCCGATTTTTCTATGCAATATTAATTAATGGATACACAATGTTGGTATTACTGAATGATTGCCTCTTTTTAACAATAGCTGTAATACTTAGTAGCGCTTTATGGAAATTAATTCGGCTACTTGCTGACTATTATTACTTCCTGTATCAGTTAGATTACATTTTTTAAGTGACACAACCTTGTTTGCTGCGTTTTTTTTTTTGTTGCTTATTGTCCTCTCTAGATCACTTTAAACTATTCTTTTTAGCTTGTAGTAAATTGATATATCTCCTTTGTTGTTTGGTGAACCCCCTCAATTTTGTTTGTTACAGGTGATGACTAAAAATTTGGAGCAAGTAGTGAATATGGTTTTGAATTCCTTTAAAGATCCACATCCGCGTGTCCGATGGGCGGCTATTAATGCTGTTGGACAGCTGTCAACTGACTTGGGCCCTGATTTGCAAGTTCAGCACCATCAACATGTGTTGCCAGCACTAGCTTCAGCTATGGATGATTTCCAAAATCCTCGAGTGCAGGTTTGGTCATTTTGTTTTACTGTCAAGTCTTTGGCATAAGCTTTTTGTCTATAAGTTGAGTTTTTCCATTCTAGATCCTTGGATGTGAACTTCATGATATAATTTGCCTCAAGATATAATCGCGTTTTCTAATTGTTTGCCCTTTTCATCTACTTCTGCTTTCAATTGTGCAATCACACTGGCTCTTCCAATCTCTCGTTAAAATTTAATGTTCTACTTTTGCTTGACAAAACTGTCTTGTTAATGTAAAAAAATGTGTATCTTAGTGTGTTTTCTTTCTTCTTTTATTTCCAAATTAAGGCAGGCAATTTGAAGGAGTATTTTCTCCATTTTGAAGTTACCTTTAGGAATAACGTAGTCCCTTAAGCATTTGAGCCATTTAGAAGATGTTTTGACTGAGATTAAGAGCCTGTTTGTGCCCCATTTTTTTAAAAATCTAAAATACATTTTGGAATAGTATTCTGATGGAGAATGTGTGGTTAACAAATAAGGAAACTTTTTGGATTTGCATGTAATATTATTTTATTGAAGAACGTGTGGTTGAAAATGAGAGAAAGAAATGTATTTTGGAAATAACGGGGACCAAACATGGGCTAAAAGGGGCTTAAAAGCATCTTAGTAGCTTAGCCGAAGATGGTTTTAGTCCACATTATTGTATTCTTGTTTGTACAATATGAAAGGGGTTTGTTTTAGGAAAGAAGAACCTACTTTGTGTTATTCAAATGTTTGCTCTTGTTATATGCATCTGAAATTGCTTCGCATCTGTCTCTCCTTCTGTGTCAGTCTTTGCATTGGATTATGTTATGATGCACCGCACTTTGTGACAATCTGTTAACCGTGGTTCTTCCTCTGCTGTTTAAACTCATTTGCTGCAGGCACATGCAGCATCGGCCGTTCTTAACTTCAGTGAGAACTGCACCCCAGAAATTTTAGCACCTTACTTAGATGGGATAGTGAGCAAGCTGCTTGTGCTTTTGCAGGTAAAATGCCAACAAAAAACAATACACTACATCTATACTGAACAACTGACCATATTCTTCATTTTTTTGACCTGGTCCATGCTAATGATTGAATTGCAGAACTCCAAACAAATGGTGCAAGAGGGGGCCTTAACCGCCTTGGCTTCAGTTGCCGATTCATCTCAGGTATAACTTTTGATAATTATTCTTTATTGTCTTTGATTTTGTTGTTTGTTGTAAATGACAGTGTATTTACTAATGTAACAACCGACAGGAGCACTTCCAGAAGTACTATGATGCAGTTATGCCTTACTTGAAAGCTATATTGATGAATGCGACTGACAAGTCTAACCGCATGCTTCGTGCCAAAGCCATGGAATGCATTAGCTTAGTTGGGATGGCAGTTGGAAAGGAAAAATTCAAGGAGGATGCGAAGCAGGTATATTAAAACAAGATCTAAGTTGTAGTTCTCATGGTTGTTATCTATTGAGTATACTATGTACATGTTTATCTAAGCTCATATTACTATCGATGCAAGGTCATGGAAGTGCTTATGTCATTGCAAGGATCTCAGCTGGAGACAGATGATCCTACTACCAGTTACATGCTACAAGTATGCTAGCATCCAAGAGTAAATTTTCTTTTATATAGTAGCATACCCAATCACTTTCTAAAATACTTAATACTCTTCTAGGCATGGGCAAGACTTTGCAAGTGCTTGGGACAGGATTTTCTTCCTTACATGAGCGTCGTCATGCCTCCTTTGCTTCAGTCTGCTCAGCTAAAACCTGATGTGATCATAACCTCTGCCGATTCAGACAATGAAATTGATGAATCAGATGATGAAAGGTCTCCTTTGTTCTTAAAATTGTTTTGCTCCTGTTAATATATTCTTGAACTGTTTCAAAGACATTACATGCTTCTTTTTTTCCTCCCCAAAGACTTTCACTCTTTCATTGACTGTATATCGTATTTTGTAGTTCTATATGTCATCATCGTAAGAATTTTCTGTAATGCAGCATAGAGACCATCACCTTAGGGGATAAAAGAATAGGGATCAAGACCAGTGTACTAGAGGAAAAGGCCACTGCTTGCAATATGCTATGCTGCTATGCTGATGAGTTGAAGGAAGGTTTCTATCCTTGGATTGATCAGGTTGGTACACACGCATTTAGTTATTTGTTTTACGTAAGCAGTGGTCGATCACTAAATAAGAGTGACTTAAAACTATTAACATGTGAAGGTTGCTCCGACTTTGGTTCCGCTTTTGAAATTTTATTTCCACGAAGAAGTGAGGAAGGCTGCTGTTTCAGGTGAATGTGATTTTCTTTTGATGATTTTTCTAGATTTGTTACATAATTGATAGTTGCTTATGCAAAAAACTGCTGGTGCATTTATAGCAATGCCAGAGCTCTTGCGTTCTGCAAAATTGGCTGTAGAGAAAGGGATAGCTCTGGGCCGTAATGAGGTGTACGTTAAGCAGTTATCTGACTATATAGTACCTGCTTTGGTGGAAGCTCTACACAAGGTGGTGTTTACTATTAGTGAAATACCTGTTTGTAAAACTATATCCTTTGATGATCATGATGCTTGCTATCTGGGCAATGACAATATAAAATTTAATGCTTCAGCTTCAGCTTCAGCTGCAGCTGCTTGAATTTTCAATATTCCTTCTTGTTTCTCATCAAATGAATGGCGTGTATCTTGCAGGAACCTGATACGGAAATATGTGCAAATATGCTAGATGCATTAAATGAATGCGTGCAGGTAGGTTTACTTATATCATATGCATTAAGATATGAGTTACTACTGGTGTTGACACTACCTTTTCGACGTGTTAATTGTTACATATACTGTTTTACTCTCTGCTACATTACATTATTCAGTATTGTTCATCTATAGTGTCAGCTAAACATGATTCAACATGCATGATATCAGATTTTTTTTTTTGTATGTATTTGGGTCTTGGCGTGGAAAATTGTTTCAGATACTAGAATAGAGAATATATATTCACTGTTTTGAATCTTTGATTCTACAGTTTCAAATGCAATGAATTTTTACTCTCATAGGGACCTTGATGATAGAATGATATAAACTTAGATGGCACTGATTCTGACACTATTGTCCACATCTTGTGAGCTCTTGAACATGGTGGCATTGGAATGCTTTATTATAAGCTTTTTGCAATTGGTTTAGAAACTTATTCGCTGTTTGGCCCTTATTTTTTAACTCATTCTCTCCCAAACTCATTTTCAATCACACATTTCATGGGCCCACAAATTTTATCAACTTTTCAATGTCACATTTCATTAACTTTTATCAAAATCTACTTAAAATCTGATTTTAAGCAAAAAGCAAATAGGGGCTTAGAAAGTGGTTTGCTTTGTCTTGTGAGCTTGTGACTTGCAACCTTTTTCTATCCGTATTGGCTAGGCTCACCTCCTATCCGACTTGGCAGCCTGGGGTTGGCTTAGGTTCAGCTTCTCCACTGCTTTTTCTATATTGGCTTGATAGATAAATGAGCCAGGCTTGAACACATTTTTAACTTATGAGCTTCTGAACTATAATTGAGCTCAGCCAGTTCACATTTTTGTCTTGTGAGAGTTTGAGAAATGCTTTAGCTTAGGTTGTTAGGATGATACACCATACGTTAACTAAGCTGTTTGAACTTGTGAAAGGCTCATTGAAGCTCAATCAAATAGTACAGGAATCGATCTTGGGCATCTAGGGTCATTGATGGTATAAGCCAAGCTTGAACATTCCAGAGCTCTGTTACTGTTCTAACTGGCTCATTTTTACCCTATACCCAGAACTAAAATAAGTTGATGCATCATCCCTACCCTATACTCACAACTAAAATAAGTTTATGCATCATCCCATGTGATAGGATTATATGAGACCACGCTGAAATTTTTGCTGTCCAGCACACTGAACTTTGACTTGGAATTGGTGCACGCTCATGTCCTTAAAAGTCCATTATTCTTGACAAATTACTAGGTAGCATGCATTGCATAACACCATTTTTCCTACTTAGCTTTTAATTTCTTTAGGTATTAAATTAGTCTATATAAATGTTCCCAATTTATATTCTTCTGTTGGCATGAAACTCATTACCTTTAAACTTTGCTTTCAGATATCTGGGCCACTTTTAGATGAAAGCCAGGTTCGAAGTATTGTGGATGAGATAAAACAGGTGATCACAGCCAGCTCTAGTAGAAAAGGAGAGAGAGCGGAGAGAGCAAAAGCTGAAGATTTTGATGCAGAGGAGGGAGAAATGCTTAGAGAGGAAAATGAGCAAGAAGAAGAACTTTTTAACCAAGTTAGTTTTCCCAAATCTGACCTCCTTAGGCTAGTTACAACCCAGCTTTCCTTTTTTCTATTGATAGTCCTTCACACTAAAAAAACAAAACTGAGCGTGTCTCTTGTTTTAATTGGCTTGCCTTTGAATGCGGTTCAGGTTGGTGAGATCTTGGGAACTTTGATCAAGACATTCAAAGCCTCATTCTTGCCTTTCTTTGATGAGCTGTCATCATATCTGATGCCTATGTGGGTGAGTTTTACCTTTCGACAACTCCTGCAACTTCATCCTTTTCTTTTGGGCAGCACGCTTACGATGATTCAAAATAGGAGTTTCCTTGGAATTTTGAACATTTTATGAGGATATTTTTGAACTTGCTTTTCTTATAGGGAAAAGATAAAACTGCTGAAGAGAGAAGGATTGCAATTTGCATTTTTGATGATGTAGCTGAGCAGTGTCACGAAGCTGCTTTAAAGTATGCACACTTAGCATAACAAAATCTTTAATTGGGTTATGATTGTCGAATTCTAAACAAAACTGTTCCTTGTCTGCAAACCAGATATTACGATACATATCTTCCTTTCCTTTTAGAAGCATGCAATGATGAGAATCCAGATGTTTGCCAGGTTTGGACAATATTATATGACAATTTGATGTTTGCCTTACTTAAGTCATGCTACCCTACCCATCTAAACTACATTGTTGCTACCCTCAGGCTGCCGTGTATGGTCTTGGTGTGTGTGCAGAATTTGGTGGTTCTGTATTTAAACCACTAATCGGAGGTACAACTTGCTTGCCTATTGATTTATTGTGTGGAGATTTCCTGCTGATTTTCTTCCATTCACCCCATTTATGTTCCTTGTTCAGAGGCTCTTTCGAGGCTTAATGTGGTCATCAGACACCCGAACTCTTTGCAGCCTGATAATATGATGGCATATGATAATGCTGTTTCTGCTCTGGGAAAAATATGTCAGTATCATCGCGACAGCATTGATACAGCACAGGTATTTTGCTCAGCATATTTTTGATTGATACAGCTTTGTTAGTTAAAATAGGGAAAGTTACACCTCTGATCAGTAGAAAATCTGAAACTCAGTGAACTTCAGTGGGAGGATTAGATTTTGGGTTGGTGGATAAGATCAGTAGTTCTTTTTTCTGTTTCCTTCTTTATTTAGGAAAAGTTGGTGCTTTGCTTTCTGAGACTGATATACAGCCGAAAGCATAGTTATCACTTATCAGACCAACCCGGGCTTCGACCCGGCAGGCGGCCAAGGTACTGGGTCATTTGTGGAACAGTTAGGTTAGTGGTTGGACCGGTGGATAATGCTTGGAATTTTTCATTTTAGATCTTATTGATATTGTAAATTATATTTGTTACTAGAATATTTAAATTTAAAATTTTAATTTTGTAGAGTTTTTAAAATAAAATGTACGTTGTTCCATTATAATGTATAAAGGTTTTATCTATTATCAACAAAAACTTTTATGTGTTAAAAAGTTGGGTATATCTTAGCGAAAAATTATTTCCTATGTACGTCAATAAATTTATTAAATATCTTTTTGATAATTAAAATGCTAGGAACTTGTATTTTTAACTTATTTAATTTATATATAAGATGCACTTTATTACCGTTTACCCAGAATTTGACTGGTTCTTGACCAGGCCAATTGCAATCCAGTCCATTTATCTCACCCGGACTGGTTAATGAGCCAGGCATGACTATGACTGCAAAGAGTATCTCGTTTGCGAGCCATGGGGACCTATTTGCCACGATGTAGATTTTCTGTGCCATGATCTCTGCGAAAAATTAGGGGTTTTGAGCTCTTTTTTTTTAAAATTCATTTTTTTCTAAACTTATCTTCAACAACACATTCTTCAGTAAAATAATATTACACGTAAATTGAAAACTTTTTATTTTTATTTTTAACCACTCTCTCTCCAAAAATCACTATTCAGAAATGCATTTTTTCTCTCAAAATGGGGCTCAAACAGGGCTTAGTATAACCTATAAACAAATCGGAATGGTATAATATGAAATTTTCCCAGTCTACACTGAAAAGATACAGAATCAGCCGTTACCAATCATGATGGACTTATTGGCATAAAAATGATGGATTTGAATTCCCAATCCAACCTTAAGGCTTAGTGCTTCATTTTGTTTGCCCAGATTGCCTTCCCATGTGGTTAGTGTAGATTTTGCATCATTTTACAAATTATTAGTTGGGGCAAAATTGTTAAAATTCTATTTTGTCTAGTCATTCTTTCATGTAAAATTGATTTGGAAGTCCCACCTTTCACCGAATTCTCAGAAATGCTAATATTTCTTGCAGGTTGTACCTGCCTGGTTGAGTTGCTTGCCAATAAAGGGTGATCTTATTGAAGCAAAAGTTGTTCATGACCAGCTTTGCTCAATGGTTGAGAGGTAGGGATGCTGGCCTGCCGTAGTTTGGGATGCTCTGCTATTTTACTTCCACCGCTGTTAAGTGTTACCTTGACGCATGTATACTAAGAATCCCACCCCATCTCTTACTTGCAGGTCTGATCTGGAACTTTTGGGTCCAAACAATCAGAATCTTCCTAAAATTGTTTCTGTATTTGCTGAGGTTAGTTCTTTCATATGTATGTATGGGTGATTAAAGAAATTCTCGACGTGATAATTACTTTTCCCACTGATAATATAATGGACTTTCCATAGATAGAAAATAAATAGAAAGAGATAGACTAGAAACGACATTTTTTTTTTTTTTGTGTCAATGACATCAAAGGGGCATTAAATGAATGAAATTGGGATATGTATGGAACATAATGAAATAGAGCCACTTTGATTTTGCCTTTGAAATGAGACATGGAAGGTAGCCACTTTCAAGGGGTCATTCGAGCGCATCTAAATAGATTCTATGTTTAAATATGGATCCCTACGTCGTCCCATTCAACGTATTGGACCTGAATACGCCGGTCCCTTGGGAATTCTTTAAGTTCTAGAAGATGGCACAGAACTACTTTTTAAAGAGAATTTTTTTCAACGTTTCTCGTTTGTTACTTGGTGTCTTTCATCTGGTAGGATCTTGACAGCAATCCTTGATGGTAAGAAAGCTGGGGAGGGAGAGGGGGTGAGTGATTTAGCCCTTTTTTGGTTTTGATAAAATTGGTAGATTTTGATAAAAGTTGATGAATGGCCCGTTTGACATGATTTTGGCTTTTGCTTTTTGCAATAGTGTTTTTGAAGGAAGCCTAAGTTTTTATTTGAAAATTAATTTTAAAATAGCTTCCTATTCTGGAGGTGCTTTTAGAGAAAGTTGGACCAACTTCTTCCGTTTGACATGATTTTGGCTTTTGCTTTTTGCAATAGTGTTTTTGAAGGAAGCCTAAGTTTTTATTTGAAAATTAATTTTAAAATAGCTTCCTATTCTGGAGGTGCTTTTAGAGAAAGTTGGACCAACTTCTTCTAAAAATTTTTCCAACTAAAATTATTTAAACGGGCGGTCTCAAGCTCCTTTTGTTTTTTCCAAAGTTATGCCAAACGGGCTCGAAATGTGTGGTTGAAAAGTTGATAAAAGTTGTAGGTCTTAAGAAATGTGTGATTGAAAATGAGTTTGGAAAAAAATGAATTGTAAGAAATGGAGGTCAAAGATGGGCTTAGTTAACAAAATCAAGTCTCTTTCTGGTTAGGCTTGCACTTGTTTTGATTATTTCACATTTCATTGCTGGGAAGGTTCTCTGAATAATGTCTAGTTGTGTTACTGCATGTTCACAGAACCCCCGAATGGCTATATAAAAGAAAAATGAGACAACTCATCTACAAATTTTGCTTCAATTTGTATTTAAAAAAACATTGGCATATAGTACTTCTGCCTATTCTTTCTTCTCCGTTTTACTATCGAATGTTTATTTTTTCTGTCCTAGGTCATCTGTGCTGGGAAAGATCTTGCTACTGAGCAAACAGCTAGTCGGATGATAAATCTGTTGAAGCAGCTTCAACAGACACTACCGCCTTCTACCCTTGCTTCTACATTGTCATCCCTGCAGCCTCAGCAGCAGATTGCATTGCAGTCAATTCTCTCATCATAATAGCATATTTACAGATACAGGAGGGTATCTAGAGTCGGTGCTGTGTGCATTTTTGTCACCATAGATTTGTTACTCAATTTTTTGTTAATAGACGTCCACAGCATTCATCTGCATACGTTTATGCATCAGTTTGGTCTTGGTTGTTTGGTCGAGTGTTTACTGTGAATGCCATTTGCAGAATGTGCATAATCTAAGCAGTTGTCTTGCTTGCGGTTTTTTTTGCTGTTCAATGCGTGAGTTGAGGGTTGTCCCAGAGGCAAAATCCTCGTTGCAGTTTTGGTCGTGTTATGTTGGTACATTGTGGATTTTTGATAGTGCAAGAACGTAATTGTAAATGGGAGACTTCTGTATGACTTATGGTCCGTTTGGCAAATTTATAGAGAGAGGAAGATTGTGAAGGTTTTTTAAGAAAAAAATGCAACATGCAAGTAATATTACTTCTTTTGCTGTTCAAAAGATAGATAAACTATTGTTTTTGATATCATGATTAGAACACTTCATCAGAAACCAAATTCACTATTTTAACAATTTTTCTTCCCAGAGGTTCTGGAACAGCCATACACAGAACATAGGTACTACACAAACAAGGGGAAGAGCAGTAGCCCAACTCTCACAGCGATTGAACTTATTAGATGCTGACTGCTTTAATCATCTTCACTGCCGCCTTCTTATTCAAGACCCTCAGCAGCAACTTCTTCATAGTCTTTCTCGAGAGCAGCTAAATCCTCACGAGCTTCACTGAATTCACCTTCCTCCATTCCTTCACCAACGTACCAATGAACAAATGCTCTCTTTGCGTACATGAGATCGAATTTGTAATCTATCCGTGAAAACACTTCAGCCACTGCTGTGTTGTTGCTAATCATGCACACGGCTCGCTGCACCTTGGCAAGATCACCCCCGGGTACAACTGCTGGAGGTTGATAGTTAATACCACACTTGAAGCCAGTAGGGCACCTAAAATAACAAAAAAATTGTATAAAAAGACATCCTAACTGTACTCAGGGATAATGTATTTTTATTCTTGTCGCACAAGGCGGCAAAATCCATTAAAAGAAAATGAACGTATCTATATCCAAGAAATAAATTTTAATTATGTCAAATGACTCGGTTCATCAAGTCAGTCAGGTTCCCATTTTTTGCCAAATTATATGCTATATCCTTACCAGTCAACAAACTGAACAGTTCGTTTAGTTTTGATGGTAGCAACAGCAGCATTGACATCCTTGGGAACAACATCTCCACGGTACATCAAACAGCAAGCCATGTATTTCCCGTGTCTTGGGTCACATTTTGCCATCATGCTCGAGGGCTCAAACACTGCGTTTGTAATCTCGGGGACTGATAACTGCTCATGGTATGCTTTCTCCGCTGAGATAACTGGGGCATATGACGAGAGCATGAAATGAATACGAGGATATGGTACAAGGTTGGTTTGGAACTCCGTAACGTCCACGTTAATGGCTCCATCAAACCGTAAAGAAGTAGTCAGGGATGATATGACTTGAGAAATCAAACGATTCAAATTTGTGTATGTCGGCCGCTCAATATCTAGAGACCGCCGACAGATATCATAAATGGCTTCATTGTCCAAGAGCACAGCCACGTCTGTATGTTCAAGAAGGGAATGAGTTGAGAGAACACTGTTGTAAGGCTCCACAACAGCAGTTGAAACCTGCAATCAATGACAAATCCACATTTAGGTCACATGAAGATCGAAGAACGAAGCATTTATCATAAGATTAACTATAAGCACTTGAGGAGAAGGATAGATGGTGAATCCGAGCTTTGATTTTTTCCCGTAGTCCACAGACAAGCGTTCCAACAGCAGTGAACCCAATCCAGATCCTGTTCCACCACCAACAGCATTGAACACCAAAAACCCTTGCAAACCCGTGCAGTTATCAGCCAACTTCCTCACTCTGTCCAAGCACAGATCAACAATCTCTTTCCCGACTGAAAAAAAGATTACCAAAATCTAATCAATTCTATAAAACACACACAGGAGCGCACTGACTAACAATTTAAACAGTTATTAATCCACATGAAACTTGCATATTCTCTTTGAAAGTTCCGGCTCCACACTAGAGCTGGATATACAATTTGCTTAAAAAGAATTGTTCATTAAAATTATTTACTTGTGTAGTGGCCTCTGGCGAAATTATTAGCAGCATCTTCCTTTCCAGATATGAGTTGCTCTGGGTGGAAAAGCTGGCGATAAGTTCCTGTCCTCACTTCGTCAATCACAGTCGGTTCAAGATCAACGAATATAGCCCTGGGTACATGCTTCCCCGACCCTGTCTCGCTAAAGAAGGTGTTGAATGCATCATGTGCATAACCCACTGATGTGTCGCTGCAAACCCAATGAAAAAACGATTATTCATCAGAATCCATAACTCATTAATTTCTCGAATAACAGATAGCAAACCCGAAAACAAAATAATAATAAATTCCCGTGCAATCCATTAACATTCATGTTATACGCCTTTACCAACAAACAACATTATGCAGATAAACATGAAAGCGTGTATGTAGATGAAAACTATATACCTAGGCATCATGCCATCGGGTTGGATGCCATGTTCAAGGCAATAAAGCTCCCAACATGAATTACCCACTTGGATCCCTGCTTGACCAATATGTATGCTTATTATTTCTCTCATTTTTATCTATTTCTTTCTCTAAAAATCTTCAGATTAAAACCTTTTTCCTCTTTGCCTCTCTTTTTTATTCGATTCAGTCTATATATATATATACACACATGTATGTACGTATTGGCAAGAAACAAAAATCCCAGATTTTTATGATATGTTTCACAAAATTTTATTATTGATCCTCAAACTTATTATTCCAGTAACAGGTTGATCCATGCCTTCTAAAATACATCAAATTGATCATAACCGTAAGATTTCACAACATTCTTTAACATGAATTTCGGGTCAAGAAACTTACTTGAAATGATGAACTCCAAGATTTTTTGATGGCTGAATCACCTTGCATTCCAAAGTTCCAAAATCTGCATTTCTTATTCTCCAATGGTCCCAATTCTGATCACAATGTAAGGGTATTATTATTCACAATCTAAGTATCAATTTTTGTGAGATTTCATGTTCAAAATATGGTTTTAAGGACTTTCCAATTTTGGTGTAAATTTCCATACGAATTTTTCTTTCATTTTTCATGCCATTTTTTCCTTCTTTTTCCAATGCGCAATCATTGGAAGTTATATGGGAGTTAAGTGTCGTTATATGGAGTTGCATGTTTGAACTTCAAATTCAAACCACTCCCTTCAACCATTTTAATAATTTGTGGGTCGGGTCGTCCCACATGGACGACCCACGACCCGTATTTTTCTAACATTAACTAATTGTTATAATTTCGGAGTGAAATTTTTTTACCGGAACCACCTGACTTGGATGAGAATCTGCGTGAATAAATCAAATTCTATTTAGTTGTAATATTATAAAATGCTCACCCTTCTTAACTATATTTACAAAGTTAGTTTTCAATATTGGGTCTTTGTTAAATAGTCATATGATTCTCTTAAAAATGTCTTACTCCAAATATTTGGACATCAATTAATAGTAAAAATGTAAAATCTGGGCATTTAATGGTTACGTAATGACTTAATAGCAAGGTTTGATCGAGATATTCATCTACTTGCCTATTTTAATAGATCTAGAAGGTTTTTGTTATCGGATCTTTCTCCTACGTAATGATTATGAACTAAAAACATGCCCCATATGTCCTGGGCGACACACATGCTTCAATCGAAAAGAGGAAAAAACAGAGTCTTTGTCTAAAGAAATGCCATGCGGTTATGCACTGTTTGAATAGGAATCCATTTGATTATTATGATTATGATAAAAGGTTAAGGNGATTATTATGATTATGATAAAAGGTTAAGGTTTAACATACTACTGATCAACAAATTACAGACCAACATTGCAATTTTCGTTATTTTGTAAAGGAAATGAGTAACAGACTACATAAAATGAGAAATTGGAGTTAAATAAAATAGTTGGAGTCCGGAAGCAGGCCCACCAATAGGTGACAGCCCATTAATCGGCCCACTTGTCTCATTATGATTGCAGAGTGGTCGTGACTCATGACCTTAGCTATATTGAAATGACAAAATTAACTTTATGTAATATCGTTAGTTATTGTCAATCTTGGCGAATGGAAAATGAAATGAGGGTACAATGGGCCATCTAATTACTCTACTACGGC